GAGTTGTCCTTCCCCATCTGAGATCAAGTGTGCCCGTTTTTGGGTTTTTTTTTTTTTTAACCCACCTGGTAACCCTACCTTTTGCTCACCCCTGTTCTACATCATGATGTAACACAGTGGTCACCAACAAGTAGATCTGGATCTACTGATAGATCTTGGAGCCTCTGCTGGGGTGCCAGGCGGGGCAGGGTGCTGGGAGCGGTTGCCTGGCCAAGGTGCGTGCAGAGTGTCTCCGCGGCGCTAACCCTATGCCCACAACGAGCCCAGCCCGATAAGGAAGGCAGCTCTGCCATGCACTGGGCTGGGGGCCCCTGGCTGCTGAAGGCAGCAACTGTCTGATCCCGGAGCGCGCTCTGGGCCGGGGCAGGGTGGCAGGGCCTGGCAGGGTGTAGCGCTGGCAGGGAGTGGGCGAGTAGTGGCGCATTTCTGCGGGCGGGCCGCGGGGCGGAAAAGGTGCATGGGGCCAGGCTCTGGCAGGTCCCGTGCAGGGCTCGCACTCGCGGTCGCTCTCGGTGCCACCCCCACGCGTGAGCCCAGGGCTATCGGCTGTCGAGCCCCCGGAGCAGCTCAGCCAGCTCCCCTAAGCAGCCAGAGAGGCGGCGGCAGCTCCCCCTTTAGCAAACCCAGAGTTGCACTTGTAGCCTCTTCTCTGACAGATAGGTCCAACAGTTTGTTTTCGAGTTAGCTCGTCAACCTCCATAAGATCCCTGCTTATAGCTTTCCCTTTTCTAGTGCTTGCAAAAATGTATAGACAAGGTGGGGTGAGACCAGTTTGTGTTCATGAAAGACTTAGCCAAAAGTTCTATGGAAGTTTGAAACCTCGTCTCTTTCCTCACCAAAAATTGGTTCCATAAAAGAAATGGCACCAGCCTTGTCTTTCTGATATCCTGGGACCAACTCTGCTACAACACTGCTTGTTTAAAAAAACTAAAACAAACCCTTAACAAGCAACTGGCAAGCTAAGATCACTGTAGGGTTACCAGGTGGCTTCAAAAAAATACCAGACACATTTGATCTCAGATGGAGGGGAGGAACACTGGCTGGGGGCTGGCCTTTGTGATAGCCAAGTGATGCACATTTAAAAAAATAAATTATTTCTGTGCTCTGACTAGACAACCTAGCATATGTGGTGAATACCTTCAAAGAACATTTCAAGTGTATTGCAATAGAAGGGGGAGCTCTCCACAAACATGCCAAAGACAAAAATATTTTAGAAAATCTCACAGGAAATTTATGTTGTCATAATTATACACATAGGTGTTGTGATGGAGCGAAGCAGCCCCGCACTGAACTCGCAGGGCTCAGCCAGGGATACCTGGCTGCAGAGACCCTGCCCCCGCAGCACTACCAAGCATGCCCAGGCTGCAGCTCAGCTATAAAAGCCAGAGAGGAGGTTGAGTCTGGGCTGGTAGCTGGAGGAGAAAGACCTAGAAAGGAAGCTCCTGCCCAGCATCCACCAGCGACTCCAGGAGAAGCCAGTGGGAGCACCGGGGCCAGTTGGGATGTTGCTGGGGTCATCCACAGAGGAGAAGTCGCCCCAGTGAATGCGGAGGACCCTGCCAGTACGTAGGAAGCGGCCCCGTCGGACCAGGTAGGAAGTGGCCCAGGTCAGGGGCGGGAGCAGCCTCTCCCACCCCGGGAACCTTGGTGCATTTTGGTGGGATTTCCCTGCCAAGGGAGTGGTGGGCCATCCTGCCACTCACAGGGCCCTGGGTCGGGACCTGGTGGAGTAGAGTGGGCCCGGGTCCCCCTACTAGGGGTGCGGCCCCTCTATGTCCATGATCCACCAGCACAACTCTTGTCTGAAAAGGCCAGCCAGTGACTTTACTTATTGACTCGGGGTCTTGTCCCTGCCCTCCGGAGGAGGCAGGAGAAACCACCCCATGACAGGTGTCGATCAGTTTTCTAGGGATGTACATGGAATGGCAAATGTGGGCTTTTCCTTGATCTTTTAGGCCGTTAATTAGCTAAAATTAAGCAGATGCATAAATGTTGAAGACCTTAGAATGATTTTTCCATTTATTTAAAAAATTGTTTGAATACTCTGCTTTCTGTCCAGATATATTGCAAAGAGTCCAGTAGTACAGTGGACAATATTTCATGTAAAGAGGCAGACAAATCTTGGAAGTGATCTCTTATACAATATCAACAATTATTCTACAACTAACCATGTTGGTATTTTTTATACTTGTGTAATAACTGCCGTAATTGGTATCTCTGATCCCAATCCTGAATTTAGATCTGTCCATTGACCTGTGTGTCCATGCAACACCTCTTTCACGTTCCTTCTGTAAGGACTTGGCTGTGTGGATCAGATTGCAGGTTGGCTGCCAGTTGTGGCAAACATTCCTATTAATTTTTGTAGGACATCTTGGTATGCAAGGATCAGGCCTTTATGTAATTCTTGATCTAGTTCTAATGAGAGATTGTGGAGATTTTTTTCTTCTGTATCTTTTGTCTAATTAAAATTAGTTGTTTATTTCTGTATAATCTTAAAGCTTAACTGAACATACTAAAATGTGTCTAATTTAAGATGCTTGCGATAAACATAGTTTCAATAATTTTTATTACCTCAAAAAGAATATTTTCAACATGTTCACCTCCCCTTGCCAGTCGTTTAGTGGGATCAGAATGGTCTATTTTCTAACAATGAAGTAGAAAGTCCCAGCCAAATTCTTCACAGAACAATTTACCTCTTGCTAGAATTATTTGCATATTTTAGTGTATTCAGATACAATTATTTCTTTATAAGAGTACTAGAAAATTTAGACCTGGTGTTGCTCAGGTCTTTAACTCAAATACGCTGTGTTTTTCTTCACTGAAATCATTGATCTAGTGTGGGACTGGGGATAAGGGGTTCAGTATGCAGGCTGCTCCAGGGAACAAGTACACCACAGCAGTTTGAGGCCAGGTGAGAAGTACTGTCTCTGGTCACTGCAGCGGGCTCAGCTGGAAGAGGGGTGCATATCCCCGGCTGGGAAACAGACAGGTGCACAAACAGAAAAACCTCTTCTAAATATATAGTAGATAGCTGTTCCTTTCTCCATCCCACATTACCCCTGCTGGCCAAATGGGATTATATCTGTCTCAGTCCTCATCGATGGTCCCTTGCTGCCCCCTGTGGTCATTCTTCATATAACTGTCCCTCCTGGCAGACCTCTCCCTTTCCATTTTATAAGAAACAATCGAAATCCAGGTCCATCCCATTGTCCTGGCACAACCAAACCTTTATCTTGCTTTAAGCTATTATAAGAGGATGCTGCATACCAAATGTGGTGGTCCTAATTCTTATACTTTAGGAGAAGTTCTTAAAGGGACTCACAGACAGACAGATATGCACATTTCTATATTATGAAGTTCTATATACAGTAAGAAAATTGCAATATGTATTAATTATGCTCATTAATGTTAACTACATTTGCAGAACAAAAATAAAAGCAAAATACACCACTCAGATACCCATGACACTGTAGAAACCTTTATTCTGTTTAAAGTACACTGAGTGTCCATAGTTACAAATAGAATACAGTCAACAAGAACACGTAGACTAATGTTTACTTTTTAATTTTTGTTGTAGAGGGGAGATTTTGAAAAGCTCAAGCGTCTGTTTTATATCTGCCCTAAAGAAAGAAGCCAACAAGATCTCAGATGGGTAAGGAAAATAAAGTACTTTATTTGATAAATAATTAATGCAGTGATACTAGAATGTAGTGCTAATTTTCTTACGTTATTTTATCTTTGAATATAACTATTTAACTTAAACAAATATAATTTACAAAGAAGAAAATTGTGCTAGTACAGCATGCAAAATTAGTGATTGCACTGAATTTTTAGACTGCTTCATCCAAAACTGATTTCCTCTGGCTAATCTGTCTTTCATTTTCCAGAGCCTGAGGGAACTCTATTCTGTTATTTCTACTGTGGTGCTAAAGAGTAGTAGATAACAGTTCAACAATATAGATATACTGCATTAGCACTGTGTGTGTGACCTTGCAGAAACTTAACCCACATTAGTAAGCTTGATTATGCAAAAATTCTATACTATTACGCTTATGCAGGTGCATTCAAATAATCAGATCCACTTTCTACTTCAAATGGATTAAATAAGGGAAGAAGAAAAGACAACAATAACAAAAAAATAAAGGGAGTGAAAGGAAAGAAGTTGAGAATGGAGAGCAACATCTCAGTTTCCATCTGCTAGAAGTAAACAATTTCCAAAAAGTTAGACAGATCTTTTCAAATTGAGTGGATGTTCCTCTTCTCAAAAACATTATGCACTCTTGAGGGAGCTGTCTAAGTCTCTGTTCCAATCTCCTATCCCAAGAGGCAGTCTGTTCTTTGATCTGAGCTCTTTGGCTACTCCTGTTCCACCAGCCGCCCAGGGAGGGGTCTGCTCTGTTTTGTTCGGGAGTAACAGGTCACCTGGCTGTGCATAAGTCTGTATGATAATGCTGCAAGTTGGAAACCTCCCAGTGTGAATGAGAGTTGAAATTTAATAAAGCCAATCTCCTCCTCCTGACTATGCCTCAGAGAAATATTTTGAATAGAAAGTGGGAGATCTTTTGGGATACCCCATATTCTAGGAAGCATGCATTCATTTTCGTTACATTAATTTACCCCAAAGGCTAAAAGTAAATTCTTGCTACCTTGGCTAAAGTGGTCTCTAAATTAATTTTACCAGATTCTCAATCTCATTTGGGATGATTTTTCCTAAATATTTAATCTGTTTGGATTGCCGCTTAATATTCCAACTATCATAGTTATACCCAGAATTTCCATTTTTTCAATTGTTTTTATATCCTGAGTGGCATCCAAGTGCATGAATTAGATTTAATAGGAACAGAACCTTTAGGTTTAGATACAAGAACAAAAAGCATTGTCAGCATGATCTTATGCTCTGGGATATCCTGATACCCTGTGTATGTTGATTTGTGTAGATAGAGGTAGCTAAAAAGGTTCTAAGATCAGCTCAAAGAGGAAAGCTATAAGAGGAAACCCCCTGTCTTGTACTCTGTTGATTTCCTTCTGAAGTAATGCTATGGTTGACAACCCTGGAAGAGAGTTTCACAAAACAAAAGTGTAATGTTGGAGATTAATTCAGATTTGGTAATCTGTTTAGCAAGCATGTAAAAAGTAATCCAGGTGTAAAAGGTGTTTGCTGCATCCAAGAAGATTGCAGTTTTGATGAACTCAAAATACCGTGTACCTGTTCCGATGTCAACCAGTTGCCACAGATTGTCAGGACATGTGTTTAAATTGTTGAATTATCTCTTAAAACACTTAAAACTTACCACATTCATGCACACTTAAAAAAACAGGACTGAATTTTCAAACTAGGATGCTTAAAACTAGGTATCTAATATATGGATTTAGATAACCAACCATAGGGATCACTGTGAAAAAATTGCCCCTCAGATTTTTACCAGTTCTAATTAAAACACAGTGCTACGTTGTGGGGCAGCAGGGGCGGATATAGGGCAGGGCAAGCGGGGCAGTCACCCCGGGCCCCGCGCTTCAAGAAGCCCCGCGCATGTGCCGTTTTATTGCCCACATCGGCTGTATGGTGTCTAATCTCCTTCACTCTTCCCCACTAAGATATGGAACCATACCAGTTCTGCTATAAGGTAACTCTTCACTACCATGAAGAAAGGGATAGTATTCCTGTTTGTAATGATGTTGTATGATCTTGCAATCACAGAACTATCGAGGGTAAATGAAAGACAAAACTAGTTTCTCTTTATCCACATTTCTCAATGAAGAAGAAAGAGAAAAGTGTGACTGCATAATGAGTATGTTTGAAATCTTGCAGTGGATCTTTACATATTAACTATTATCAGTTAATTAGTTGAAGAATTGAGAACAGATGTTAGATAGTAGATGAATGTCCACATTAGACAAAATTCCTCACTGAAAATGTAGTTGTTTAGACTTTGATCATACTTCAGAGACCTATATAAGATTATAGGGTTTTTTTCTCCTTAGAAACTGGGTGGGGAAAAGGGAAGGATAATATTTTTATGCACTTTAAGTTTTAATAGTCCTACGTAAATTGGGTAGTCATCTCTCACATACTCATGGGCACAGAAACTTATATTTTATTTTGTTAACTATGCATTTTAGATCATAGGTCATAGATTTTTGTTCAGTTGTTCCAATGTAACTTTTATTTAAACACAAATCTCATTCTAAAGCATCTGAGAAATATTGACAAAAGTTATTCCCCTTTTGAAAGACTGAATCGTATGACCTTGCTCCATACAATGTGGAGGTGACTGCAAAGCTGGGAGTCCTTTCATAGTACACTTCAGATCTGAGTCACTGCCAGCCAATTATTACTTACAGTATAATAAAAGTAAAATAATTTTCTTAATTTGATAAATCTGCTAGTGACTGAAACCCCATTAACTCCTTGCCCATGGATCCGTAGTGTTTTCCAGTTCATTGTGTGGGATTTTACCAGTAACTTAGCCTTAGGATACATTTAAACTCCTGGATCCACCAAAGCATCATCTTTCCCCTTATTTTTGGAATCTTCTTTCATCCATCAGTCTACACTAACATCAGTTCCACTTCCCCGTGTTGGCAACAAGCCCACCAGCCTCTTCCTCCTACACAGGCATCCCCGTCCTGCTCTGCCAGTCCCTCCTGGATAGACTGGTCCTTGCTCTGTCCTACTTCAAGGACATTGTCAGAGCTGACTCTTTTCTGTTAAACCACTTCAAAGCCAGCAGACTGTCTTCTCCTTAACATATAGATGGAATGAAAATCATTACTGGTGGGATACTTTATAAACTGCCACAAAGCAGAATGGCAGTGTGGTGAGCATGATGATCAGCAGCGTGGCTTGTTCCTTTGTCTTCCTTTCCCATGCCGTGATGTGTTTTGAAAGGTAGAGGGGAGACAGTGGCCATAATGCCCCTCTTATTTGCCTAATCCTGGCTACTGCAGCAGCATCAATTGTGTGGGTAGCAGCAATCAGTCATGAGGCTTGCTGCCTGCACTAGTTCTCCTGATATGTGAGGTATTGGCTCACCTTTTTTTCTTCCTTGCACCTGAATTTGGTTTCCTGCTAGGATGCAGCTAACCAGCAAAATCCACTTGTGAAATGTCCATCTACTGCTGCTTTTCAGCTTCCCTCTGATTCACTACAAGTTATGGTAAATGTTTGAATATTGCAACACTTGAATTTGATCCCTGTCCCAGAGATTTATAGGTAATCCACCCTTGCGTGATTCTCTTTCAGACTTGAGCTAATGAAAAACTTCTAAACTTCTATATTAAATGGTCCTATTCCAGAAATCCCATTTATCATGAAAAAACTTGCTATATAGCAGAATGTTTTTTTTTTTTTTTTAAAGGACAGGTTGAACCTCCCAAATCTGGGCAAGGCCACAGATGTTGCTTGACCAAAGAGCACTAGAGGTGGCAGTGGGAGAAAATGTGGGAGCTGAGGAGTTCCAGCTGGACCAACAGCGGTTGTGCCAAACAGCAGCTGGGGAGCCCTGGCCCCGGCAGGGGAATCCTTGGCATCAGCTGGGCCAGGTGGCTGAGGAGTACCAGCCTCAGCTGAGGAACCCCGGCTGCAGAGGGACTGCTGGTTGTGAGAGGCCTGGCTAGGGAATCTCCGGCGGTAGCACGGCCAGCAGTGGCCAAGCAGCCCCTGCTGGAACCCCAGGAAACCCCCAGGGGCAGCGGGGTTGGAGTGACTAGGTAGCACTGGCCGAGAATGCCCCAGCTGAAGCAGGGTTGGTGGAGGTGGGAACCCTTCTGGGAAACCCCAGGGAACCACCAGCCGCAGTGGGGCCAGCCCTGGCAGGGGGCAGGATAGCTGGGCAGCCCCTTCCAAGGAACCCTGGGGAACATCCTATGGGCAGCAGGGCTGCAGTGTCCAGGCAGTCCCAGCTGGGAGCCCCAGGGAACGCTAAGGCCAGCATTAGAGTGGCCAGGGCAGGGAGCCCCAAGGAGAGGAGCCAGGGAGTGGGCAGCCAACAGGGGAGCCCTGACCTCCCCGAGTCTGGCAAACTCCCTGGTTTGGGGCAGCTCAGGGCATTCTGGACCAGGGAGGTCCAATCTGTAACAAATTTGGTCAAAGCTGTACAGAGGAAAAAGTAACGGGTTGTGCTGCTGAAAGGGAGATTCTATCTTGCAGCAAACATTCTCAGTGCCAAATTCTATATTAAGATATATGCTCCTACTGCCTTTTAAGTTTGGAGTAACATCGTAGGGCCAAAGTCTGGTTTCAGCTACTTACACAAGTGCACTTTTGTTGAATTTTGTGGATGTAGTAGCGGTATTAAAAAAAAATAACTGATGGCAGAACTTGGCCTCGGGTCTACTAGGCAAGCTCAAGAGTAGAGTCACATTCTAAGAAACAGATAGGGTGAGGAAAGGAAATGGTACTAGTAATACAATAATGTGGTTACTATACTATGACATTGACAAGAGAGAATCCATTAAGTTCTGGGAAAATCTTAAATATAGAGAAATCCCAATGCATTAGGAAGGAGCAGGTTGCAAAATAAATACAATGAAAAGGTACCATTTTCCTTTGCTCCTCACGAACGAGATCCTGCTTTAAAGGAATTAAAAAGACTGTGTTAGCAGTATCCTCTCAGTCACAAGTTTGGCCCTGAATACACATGCACACAGATCCTGTCTCCCATTGAGTGCAGTGCTGTTTGGAATACCCAATGAGTACAGAATTTGGCTGGGGGGTAGAGGCAGTTGCCCCCAGACCTGGCGATTCAAAGTGGCCTGGGGCTCCTGGTCACTATTGAGGCAGCAGCTGGAGCCCTAGACCCTTTAATTCGCTACTGGAGTGTAATGCTGTATGCAGCTCTGAGGGCTGGGTGAGGTGCAGAGGGTTGGTTGCCCCGACCTCCACCCCTTCCAGGAGTGAGGAGTGGGCCCCCCTTACCTTGGCCAGGAGTCTATGCAGGATATCAGCTCCCCTGACTGGAGCTTGTATGGAGGCCAGCTGTTCTAGTAAGAAGCTTTGGGAGGCATGATGCCTGAAGGTACTTCTTGGTGCTCTTGTGAGAGCAAGGAAAGCGTGGCTACTCCAGAACCCTTAAGGAGGGAAAAATCACTCATTGTTCTTTGTACTGGCAGCAGGTGTAGAAAATGGGGCAGGGCCATGGAAGCCAACAGCAGTACTAATCTTGCACAGAGCTCAGGCACTGCTGTTGTGCCTGGGTTCTGCACAAGGGCCAATTAAATGGAAGATTCTTCCACCCTCTTCCTTTGCCTGGGTGCACATACAAAGGCTTAACTCAGTTTTCACCACAGTGTAGTTTACAGTGTCTTTGGTGTGATACTTGAACCTGTTATTAAAAGTGTGTTGTCTTTTTTTTTTTCAAGATACAAACATATATCTGAAGAAGAGCAGAACATTTCAGTGTTTACCTAATAAAACACAGCTCCAACTTTGCTCCAGTTCTGTAGTCTGCCAAGAGTAAGTAAAAGACAAGAATGCTATTGTTTCCTTTAGAAACCTGGGTCAAAACATGCACATTTTTCAACAAAACTGCCACTCTTTGAATTAAATATTAATCATACTTCAGAAACACCCACCCCATTACAATAAAATATTGGGAAGCAGAGCTATGTAATACTTCTCTGGTATTTGGTGTTTTGGATCACAGAGAACTGCCATACCTGAGATCAGAAAATCTAGTTGGAATGCAAGATCATCAGTATGCTAATAGAAAAAACTTCTCCCAAGAAAACACAAAAATAAAGACATAAGTATTGACATTAAAAGGTATCCTCAGAATCCAAGCAATTTAATAGTTTCTTGTCCCCCCCTCCCCCAAAATCTCACCTTGGCTTGCTTGAATCTGGCCCCTGCGGCTCAGGGCTACCTTCCAGCATTGGGGAGCCCGTACTGGTGCTCCATCCCTCTACAGTTCTCCATTGGGCTGGTGCACAAAATCTAGTAGGCTGGGACCCCCTGGGCTCTGGTGTGCGAGGGAAATGTGGTGAGTGTCTTCCTTCTTCTCAGTTGGGGCCATAGTAAGGGTGGGATGTGCAGTTCCCAATTGATTGTCTGTGTGTCAGTAGCCCCAGCTCAAAAAAAATTCCCCACCCCGGTTCTATGCTTTGTTTTTTGCTAGTTCAATGAGATTTTTACAAAATAATTTAAAGCTTCTTCTGAAATTGAGCTCAGTAAGGCTCACCTATCATGCATCACAGTAAATTATATGTTGTGCTTATATAGCACTTTCCAATCTAGCTCCCAAAATGCCTTATGTTGACCACTGGGAAGACTGAAAGTATTTTGGGCCAATCCCATAACAAAACTCTTTGACCAGAAATGAAAAGAACATGATTGCAAAAAAATAGAATGAGGCTGTGTTGACTTGCATTTATGGAAGTGCGGATAAGAACAATTTGGACAAAGGTGATAAATGGTGATGACTGAAAAGGTACATAACACTCTATAGAGAAACAGTACCTATCCATAACATACTCCAGCAATCAGCACACAAGAAAACATAATGATACCAAAGGACAAGTCCCAGAATGTCTTAAATTGCAAAAGGAATACAAAGAAAGCGAGACAATCGCTGACAAAAACATCATCAGAAGAGGTGATTTGGAACATCTCTTTTATTCTTTCTGTGTCACTTCATTTTTCATCAAACCACCATGAAAAAAATCCAAATTGTACTCAAAGGCTACGTATACACTGGCACCTTTTTCTGGAAATGCTTAAAACAGAACAGTTTTCTGTAATAAGTATTTCCGGAAAAAGAGCATCTACATTGGCAGGATGCTTTTCCGGAAAAGCCCTTTTTCCGGAAAAGCGTCCGTGGCCAATGTAGATGCGCTTTTTCGGAAAAAAGCCCCGATCGTCATTTTCACGATCGGGGCTTTTTTCCGGAAAAGAGTACTGGGCTGTCTACACTGGCCCTTTTCCGGAACAGTGTTCCGGAATAAGAACTTATGCCCGAGCGGGAGCAGCGTAGCTTTTCTGGAATAGCGGCTGATTTTGTACAGTAGAGCATCGTTGCTTTTCTGGAAATTCAAGGGCCAGTGTAGACAGCTCGCAGCTTATTCCGGAAAAGCGGCTGATTTTCCGGAATAAGTGGCCCAGTGTAGACACAGCCAAAATGTATATTCTCTTCTTTGTTTTATGCCACTTCAGTGAGATGTTGACAAAATAATTTAAAGCTTCAATTGAAATTGAGCTCTGTAAGGTGCACCTACCATTCCATCATAGTAAATTATATATTGTGCTTATATAGCACTTTCTAATCCAGCCTCCCAAAGTGCCTTATAAATACTAATGGACTTCATTTCGTACACTAAAGTTATTTTATGCTGCTGTGCCACTGTAAAGAGTTCTTAAACAGGGTGTAAATTATGTTGACACCCACATTAAGGTCACTTTATGTGGGTGGAGTGGTGAAAAGTTGCCTTAGCATCATGCCTTTAGCCTCACCACATGTCTGTGAATTGAGTAAATATATCCATTGTACAGATGAGAAAACTAGGGCAATAACAGGTGACAGGGGCAGATGACCATTTTGAGGGGCCCAGGGCAGCACAATTTCGTGGGGCCTCCCTTTGCCACGGCGCATGCGCGGGGCTTCTTGAAGTGCGGAGCCCGGGATGGCCGCCCCGCTTGCCCTGCCCTATATCTGCCCCTGACGGGTGAAATGATTCACCTCATTTCACACAGAAAAAAGTCTGCTAGAGCTGGGAATAGAATTCAATTTTTCTAACTCCCTGCCTGCTTTCAGGTTTCTGTTAGCTCAATTAGTCTCTTGGTTTCATTGTATTATTTTGTCATCGGTGACCATGGTTCTCATTCTGGGTTTAGTTATGTTCTTGTTCAGAGAATTAGGATGGAAGTTCTTCACTATGGGTACGTCTGCACTACAGCGTTATTTCAAAATAGTTAATTTGAAATAAGATATTTCAAAATAACGCGTCTACACACAACATGCATTTCAAAATAGCATTCTGCTATTTCGAAATAGCGCCCACACTGATCGGACGCTGAATCGCATTTAAGGCCAGCTGAAACTGGTTCCCGCAGGGCATCAGGTCAGTAGTTGCTTTATGTGGCTGCTGCCTGACGCTATCTGAGACGTGCTTAAAGGGACCCCCTGGACAGCCAGTTCTCAGCTTTCCCTGCTTGCTTGCCTACCTTGCTGAGGGACAGCAAAGCATTTTTTTCTCTGTCTGCTTTGGTTGCCCTGACTTGGGATACCACAGCACTCGGCACCATGGAGCCAGAGCTGTCCCTGGGCACTCTGGTGCTCATTTTGGATGTCTTGCTGCAAGCCTGGCAGCAATTGCTGGAGACTTCCTGGCAGCATCTGCTGCAGCCCAACCCCCAGGCCCTCTTCCAGACCCCCCTGGGGGCTGTGAAGGAGCAGGAGCAGCACCTGGATGCCAGCGTGCCCCTCCGCATCTGGCGTCTGGACACCAGCAGCGACTGGTGGGACCACATCATCCTGGAGTTCTGGGGAGACCAACAATGGACCCAGAACTTCAGGATGAAGGAGGACACCTTCCTTGAGTTCTGTGAGTGGCTCGCCCCTGCTCTGCAATGACGGGACCCGCACGTGAGGCCCTCCAGAAGTGTGTGGCTATCGCCCTATGGAAGCTCTCCACGCCGGATAGCTACTGATCCTTGGTGAACCAGTTCAGAGTGGGGAGATCCACCATCGGAGCAGTGCTCATGCAGATATGGCACATGAAATTAATAGGTAGCATGTTTAAAACAAAAGGAAGTATTTCTTCACACAACACACAGTCATCCTATGGAACTCTGCTACAGGATGTTGTGAACTCTGCTAGAGGATGTTGTGGAGGCCAAAACTGTAACAGGGTTCAAAATAGAACCAGATAAATTCATGGAGAATAGGTCCATCAATGGCTGTTAGCTTTTGTTAAATTGTATGTGAATATTGACTAATTTATGCCTGACCATTCCTTTAATGGAGAAGACTCTCCAGCAACATACCTTCCTGTAGAAGTGCTCCATAAATTCTGTTGCAGGAAAAAGGGGCAAGTTGGAGAAGATGTAGTGTATGGAAAAGGAGGTGGGGAGAAGACAAAACTTAGTTCCAAGTCCTGTTATTTTTCTGTAACCCCACACCAGGTTCACATGTTTTGTTTTGTTTGTTGGAAGGGGGAGTGGGGAGGGAAGGGAGACAGACTGTTACTGGAGACCAGAAAAATCATGGAGGAGTGTTTGAAAGAAATCTCATAGGGTACATCTACACTACAACGTTAATTCGAACTAAGCTAATTTGAACTAACGGATCCAGACTAAAAAACTAGTTCGAATTAGCATTTTGCTAATTCGAACTAGCATGTCCACATTAAGTGGACCCTGAACCAGGCTTAAGGATGGCCGGAAGCAGTGCCGGCAGGGCATCAGAGGAGGACTTAGAGCGTGGAGATGCTGTCTCAGGCTAGCCGAGGGCTGTGCTTAAAGGGTCCCGACCCCCACCCCGGACAGACAGTTCTCAGGGGTGCCCCGCTTGCAAAGCAGTCCTGGCTTGGAGTGCCCGGACTACCCACACTGGGCACATCACAGCACTCGGCCATCAGACCAGCTGCACTTGCCGAAGGCTGCCATCTGGGGAGAGGGAGCAATTGGGGGGCTGCAGGAGAGCTTCCACCCCCAGAAGCCCGCAGAGCCAGCCCAGTCCTCCCCATCG